TACTTTTATGATATATCAAATAAAAAAAATATATTAACAATTTTTAATCAAGTATAGATACATAAAAAAACTAAGCTCTTAGGACACAATAACGTGAAACTTTATTGAATATAATTTGTGAACTTTATTGTTTAAATCATTAAATTGAAAAAGTGTATGGAACATAACTGATAATAAAATTTCTCATATTTTTTTTACTATTCCCATCATCTAAAGTTTGAAAAAACCTAATAACAAGAGAGAGATATATATATATACTCCGATGGTCATAGTTTCATTTTCCATCCAAAGAAAATGTGTCAATTAAAACATCATACGATTTTGAAAAATGAATTTTTTTATTTATTATTTTTGCAATAATGATTAATAAATAAATTAATTTTTACAGTTAATTGAATAAATATTTGCTAAATAAATGTATTCGTCACACTTGAATTTATTTGGAATTATATTAACATTAAAGAGCGCAACACATCAGTAAATGTTGGCAGCAAACTTAGAATCGAATCGTTGATGCATGAGAGGAAACTTCGCATGGTTATAAAGCAAGGATGCTGTGGAATTAAGAGGAATCACATTGTCGATTAATTGTCGCAGTGCGAGCTTCCCGAACGAGTAAGTAGTCGGACGTGACGAAAGTTCTTGCAGTCGACAAGATAGATGCACTCCAGAGACGCGCTCGCGCGCGCACTTCTACAGCCTTTGTGGATACCTCGAGTCGCGCTAACAGGATGAGTATCTGTTGTGAACGCTAAAATCGTACCACGTACCAACGAAGTGTTTCTCACTTTACTGTTTCAGCGAGAGTCACGTTAAAGCCGTTTCCAGTTACGATCCTTGGTTCGTCATAAATAAAGAAACCTTCACAATGTTTAAAGCAGTGGATGAAATAAAACTAACGAGTGTATTTATTAAGAGCGCGAAAAAACCCTCTTTAATTGCTGTAAAACAATTTTTAGGACTATTTTATCTTTTGTTTTAATTTTTTTTTTGGTAATTTAGAAATTTTTTGATTAATTGTAATTGATTAGATCTTCCATTATCTGAATTTAGTAGTAAAAGTGGCAGTCAGACGAAACTTGAGAATTTTTGAAATGTCAGAGGTAATAGTAGTACAGAGATAAAACATTTCTATGTAACTTTGGTGTCAGTAGTAAAGATAAGTTTTAGTCGGACAGAACGTTTAAAATTTTTATTTTCAGTATCAGTAGTTAAGGGAAACTTATTTTTAATTTTTGTAAATTCGGTATCAGTACTAGTTAAAGTAATTTTATTTCATTTAATTGGTTTAAGTAGTGAATGTCTGCTACAGTCAGACGATAAATTAAAAATTTCTAAAGCAGTAGTAAATGTCAGTTACATTCAGACAAAAAGGTTGTCTAATTCTCAAAATTATTACAATAAGTAGAACAAGGCAGTTTCAGTCAGACAATGCATTTTTTAGTAGCATTGAATTTTTTAGTAGTAAAAACAGTTTTAGCCAGACAAATAGTTGAAAATTCCTGTAATTTTATTTTAATTCTTCTTATTTTGATACCAGTAGTAAAAGTCCATTACAGTCAGACAGAACCACAAAAGAATTTTCCACTATAGTTGATAAAATTTTTTAATTGAATAATTTGTGTTATTTTCCCCTTGCAAATTTGAAAAAAATATAATTGTTGCGAATTAAACAAATCGGATTAGCAAAAGTATCATTTTATGTTTTCAAAATCGTATTTTCAAGTTTAAATTTGTTTCGTTTAATTGGAAAATTTTTGGAACTAAATTGTTTTATGGAAACATGCAACATGGATTTATAGTGTGATATTATTTTTCAATTAGTTGGAGGCTTACCGCGCGTAATCGCCAGTGTTCATTGTCTGCGCAACTAGAAACCAAAGAGCATTTTATCTAATGTTCCACACGTCCGTCGCAGCTTGATCGATAGAACTATGAACAAGCCGGAAGTAGAGGACCAACGGTTATTAATGGTAGACACTGACACGACCCCTAGAACGCATTTATGGGGATCGTGCCAGGAATTCGGTGAATTTTCCCTCTTCGGACAATGCCTTTCTTTTTATTTCGACAACAAAAAGTAAAAGGAAAAAGAGAGAAAGAGTTGAGAGCTGAAAAGGTCGACGAAACGTTTAGGGTTCAACTACTCCAAAATTTAAATAATTATTTTCAATTGTTTCCCTTCAAGTCCCTTCTCGCGTTTAATGCTCACATATATACACACACAAAGTGTAACAGAATGTTAAAAATGTACAGAAAAATTTCCCTCTGGCCACAAAATTCTCAAAGTGGAAAAAGAGTAAATTTAAAATGGCAACTTTAATTTATTTAAATAACCTTTAATTAACTTGTATTTTTTAATTAATTTTAAACTTGTATCTTTAATTATAATTTAATCTTGTAACTTTAATTAAAAGAAATTATTACCATAGAAAAGTTTAATTAGTAAATTTAAAATAAATAATAAATACCAATAAAAATGAACTTTATTATTCATAATTATATAACAGTTGTTTTTTCAAACCTTTTTTTTATATATATTTATTCATCATCTTGCTGATGAGTTTCTTTAATTTATGCTTCTGAAAATTAAAAGCATTATACACTAATTGCATAAGAAGTTTCTCGAACGAAAACTTTCTTACATTAAATGCATCAAAGCTTGCGAGAGCAATTTCGTTATTATTTTCTCTTAGCAGAGTAGTAATAAGAAAACTTAATTTAAAAAATAGACAAAACATAAAATTACATTTTTCTTGTCATAAATCTCTTTCTAAATTGAACATTTCCTGCAACACAAATAAGAAAACGATAGGCAAAGGTTTCATTTCCTGCAAAACGGCGCTCGTCGTTTATTTGCTTTCCAAGTGTCAACAAATTTCTCTTCTCGCAATAAAAGGAGGGAAAAAAAAAAAATTTTCACTTTCCACCCTTTCTCGTCTTTTAATCTTAATCATCTGACTCTGAGACTCGCGCAAATATTTCATTGAATAAGTTGAAAATATGTTCTTTGAAAAAACAACGAAAAACTAAAATAAAGAACAGTTTGTAAAATGAAAGAAAATATTTTTAAAAATCCAACAAAGATTGTAAAAGAATTAAACGCGCAATTCTGAATAGAATGAATAGCAGCAAAAATATCCGAGGAAGTGGTCCCCAATGAGAAACAACGAGTTTTTTTGTGTGTAGTTATAGTATAGTCGCTATACGCTATCTGCTATACTGTGAGGTAGAAGTGGCAAAAGTAGGTGCACGACAATTCTGTACTGAACTATAGAAGAAAGTAGTGCGAGACTTGACTCTCCTATGAACAAATCTACAACGAGGTTCTTTTTACGTTTTACTTCTCTCTCTCTCTCAACCCTTCGGGAAAAGTTCATTTTTTCAACTGACATATCATATTTTACGAGAAAAATATATATTATAAAAATAAATAAAAATCTTACCCTTTGGATCAATATACTTTTTTGCTTTGCATATTTGAAAATACGACAGATTTAGTCAGACAAAATGTTCTAATTTTTTACAATTTTAGTATCAGTACTAAAGATTGATATCAGTAGTAAAATAATTTCAGTCAGACAAATGAGTTCTAAAAAAAATCTTTATTTTATTATTTCAATAAAATTCTTAAAACAGATTGTATTGCATCATTAAGAAAAATGTTTGCCAATGAAAAAATACAGATTTGTTTTTAAAAGAATAAATGTGTTTTTTCGTATTAAATCTTTATGAATCAGTTAAGACACATCTGCATTTCAGACTCAAACATAAAGTTTGTATAAAATTTCATTTAAAGACTAGGAAGTAGATATACTTTCCGCCCTTTTCAGAAAGCATTTCTTTCTCAACTACTTGTTTTTTCTTATTTAACATACATACACGCCACAATATGAAACACGTTGCCTTGGTTACATATAATAAGATTCTCTAGAAGCAAAAATCTCAGAATTATAAGAAAGACATGACATCCAATTCAACGTTGTACGTACACAATTAATAAAATATATATATCAAGAAATATTCAAAAATTCCTTTTGAAAATTTCTAATTTCTATATAAACAATAGTAAAATTATCAATTTTATAAAAATTTCTAATTATTATAAATTTCATAATTTTCTTGTTTTTCTTACAATTTAGAATTTAAAAAAACAAGAATTTCTTTGAAACCTGTTGAGGCAACTGAACTTAATAGAAATTCATTGAAGCATAGCTTTATGGAAAAAAATAAGCTAAAACTATTTTAATATAATTTTTCAATATAGCTTTGAGTCAAACAAATTCAAAAGAATTATATACGAAAAATGTTTTCCTTTTTTATTTATGGTAGAAAGTAAACTTATTTATTAGAATTAAAATCTTTTACGTAAATAGATAAAAATGTCGTAGTCGTCGAGTAAAGAAATTATTTATACTTGACCAACGGACAAAGAGAAAAACTATGTAAAAGTATACTGTGGGTATAGTGAATGTGGAATTGATAAAAAGCAGGTCACTATGATAAAAGTTTGCTTTATTTTCTAGACGGGAAAATTTAAACTCATGTAGCTTACGTCCATCACGTATTTAGTGGACGATTTGCAATCGATCAATAATAAAACAAAAGCCCGTGAGTAGAAAGAAACAAAAGAAAATATTTAAAACTCCCTTTTAAAGATAAAATGCAATGCGAATAAAATTGTTCCATTCTCGGACACAAAAAAAAACAAAAAGAATATTCTTAAGAATAAAATATTTAGAGCAAACAAAACATAAATTACCGGGTTTTTTTTCTTTTATTATATGCTTTCAGTGCTTTTATCTTTATGAGCGTTATGTGTTATATTTTAATTTTTTCGTTCACTAATAACAGGAGTAATTTTATTTTAATTTTAAAGAAACATATTTTCCCCTGGTTTTATATTAAAAACATATTTATAAATAGAAACTGAAAAATACCACGCACAGTAAATAAAATTTTCCAAATTTTTAGAAATGTTATTTTTTGTTATGTTTCAGAGAAAATGTGATGTTACGATGATGCGAAATTTTCGACAGCTGAGAGGACAATTGTGCTCTTCAATCAGATGGAGCATTGGATCACTGATTCTCATCATATGTGTTCCTTCCTTTATTACAATAGTTCACAGTCAATCATCAGAATGTCCTCCTTCCGAAACAATTCCAGGTTGTCCCTGTTACAATTTTGAAAATGGACTCTTCCTCGAGTGTGCAGGTGCCACCGAGGAAACAATTCGATCCACATTACAAAAAATCGTGACCAATGCAGGTATTTCTAAAAAAAATTAATCAATTTACAAATTTTATTTACCTGTATTACAATTTAATAAGCACCCATTAAAATATTAAGGTAGAAAAAAATGATCTTTTCTTTTCAGGAGAAGAAGTGATACTTCAATCATTAAGGGTCTATGAGTTGGACAAAGCCATTGAGGAATTAAAAGAGGGTTCGTTTCCATCGGGCTCACAAATCAGGCACCTGGAGATATCTCATTCTTCTCTACGTGACGTGGGTGAAACCGCATTTCTAAACTTGAAAGATAGCCTCGAATCTTTGGGATTAGTCGCTGGCCGCCTCCCGCACGTGCCACAGAAAGCTTTAGCTAATCTTCACAAACTCGTTGCACTGGACCTCGAGGCAAATCTCATTCAGGATCTATCCTCTTACTGCTTTTATGGATTGAAACTGATAAAATTGACTCTCAAAGGCAATCAGATATCGAAAATCTCCGAATACGCTTTCGCCGGCCTCGAGGATAGTCTCAGTGAGCTTGATATGGCCGAAAACAAATTGAAACTCTTTCCAATCGCACCATTTCGAAAGTTACAAAATTTAGATTCACTCAGGCTTGCCTGGAACGAAATCTCCGAATTTCCCAATGACGGACACTCCATTCTTGGATCATTATTGATTCTCGATTTAAGTAGTAATGATTTTGAAAAATTAACCGAAGACTGCTTTCGACCGTGTCCCCTTTTGCAAACACTATCACTGTATTATAATTCCATTGAAACAGTTCACAAAGATGCATTCATCTCGCTCAAAGATCTCGAATCAATTGATTTGAGTCACAATAAAATTGTCTTTTTGGATGTTGCGTCATTCAGAAATAATGCACGTCTCCGTACAATTGAATTGAGTCACAATCACATCCATTACATTGGCGGTGTTTTTGCCAAACTACCCGAACTACATGAACTTTATTTGGCTGAAAATAATATACTCGAAATACCAGGCGAAGCATTTGCAGGAAGTGTTGCCCTTGAGGTTGTCTATTTGCAACAAAATGCAATTCGTCGAATTGACAGTAGAGGACTATCGGGCCTCACCGAATTGACACAATTACATTTGAGTAACAACTACATTGAGAAGGTGCCAAAGGAATTTTTCACACAATGCGGGAATCTCTCATCACTTTTTCTCGATGGAAATAAAATCCGCGAACTTCAAGCCGGTACATTCACAAAATTACATCAACTACGGGAACTACGTATTCAGGACAATCAAATAACAGAGGTAAAAAGAGGCGTCTTCTCCTCACTGCCAGCATTACTCGAGTTGCATTTACAAAAGAATGCCATTCGTCGAATAGAAACAGGTGCATTTAATTCACTCAAGAATCTTCAGCATGTGAATCTTCAAGGTAATCAACTCTCAATTTTAGGTGATGTTTTTCAATTCACCTCATCGCATTCCACAAGTTCTCTTCTTTCAATTCAACTCGATAGCAATGGCCTCGAAACACTACACAATGATTCACTGAAGGGTCAAGCATCCGTACAAATTATGTGGTTGGGTCACAATAAATTAACCCATTTGCAAGCACCAGTTTTTCGTGATCTAGTTCTTGTGGAACGTTTATACTTGACCAATAATTCAATATCAATTATTGAAGACGCTGCCTTTCAACCCATGCGCGCCCTCAAGGTACTCGAACTAAGTATGAATAAATTATCACGAATCACGGCGAAAATGTTTTCCGAACTACACGAACTCGAGGAATTGTATCTCCAGGATAATGGCCTTAAAAAACTCGATCCCTACGCACTCACTGCTCTCAAGAAGTTGAAAATTTTAGACCTCGCCAATAATCATATAACCGTTTTGGAAGACGAAATATTTCAATCAAATTTACCAATAAAAATGTTAAATCTCCGTAATTCGTCGATAATGACAATTGAGAGTCGTGCATTTCGCGATTTGTCGAATCTGAATGAACTACGACTAGAGGATAATCTTCTTACAGCATCCGCATTACGACGACTACAAATACCAAAACTTCAAATTCTCGCAGCATCAGGGAATAATTTTAGTCAAATTATGGATAATAGTCTCAATGGTCTCTCATCGCTTCAGGATTTATTCTTCGATAATGCCCAAATATCACAAATGCCCGAGACAATATTCATTTTAAATCGAAATCTCGCACGATTACACTTGACGAAAAATTTACTACGTGCATTACCACCGGAAATATTTCAAGGCCTACAATCGTTACGTGAAATTCGTCTCGATCGAAATCGTTTCACCTCAATACCATATTCAGCCCTTTCGGGTGCAATTAATCTCGAAATTCTCACACTATCACACAATCAAATAGCAACCGTTGACGTTGCAAGTTTCACTCGTTTACAATATTTACGTGAACTTGATTTAAGTTTCAATAAAATTGAAACAATGTCAGGTTTTGCAATGGTCAATCTTTCACGTCTATTATCCGTCGATCTAAGCAATAATAATATGAACGCCCTGCCGGCAAATTTTTTCTCACAATCAAATTTATTACGCCGCGTTGATTTATCGGAAAATAAATTTCGTCAAATACCAGCTGTCGCATTGTCAGGACAAAATTTACCAAGTCTCACTTGGTTAAATTTAACTCGAAATCCACTTAATCGAATTCACGATTTACCATTAGAGGCATCTTATCCATTGTTACAAGAGATTCACATATCGTGCACTAATTTAAGTATCGTCACATCACAAGATTTTGAATCATTTCCCGCATTGATTCATCTTTATTTACGACAAAATAGCATACTGCGTGTGTCGCCAGGTGCATTCAAGAGTCTTCCAAATTTATTGACGTTACATTTGGGAATGAATAGTTTGGAGAATTTGCCCAAAGAACGTTTACAGGGTATGGAACATTTACGTATTCTCAATTTGACGCACAATCGACTAAAGGAAGTGGAAGAATTTCCATCTGATTTGAAATCCCTTCAAATTCTCGACCTCTCGTATAATCAAATTAGCAATGTTGAAAAAATCACGTTCAAGAATTTAATCAGCCTTGTGGAGTTGCACCTCTATGGGAATTGGATCAGTGCGATATCCAGTGAGGCGTTCAGGCCTTTGAAGAAACTTCGTCTACTCGATCTCAGTAGGAATTATCTTGAAAATCTACCACTGAACGCCTTTCGACCCTTAGAAACACAGATTCGCAGTCTAAGGGCTGAAGGTAATGTTTTCTTCATAAAACTTTTCTCTTCTTTATTTCTTTTCTTTTTACTGCTTTATTTTTCTCAAGTTACTCTTTTCTCTTTTTTCAAAATCATGATAGAGATAAAAAAAAAGATGTAAATTTTGTTAAAGATAATTTCTACCTCTGAATTTGTAATTTAAGTTTATTTTCGGCACTTTTCTGCATTATTTAATCATTTTCTCTTTAGATAATTTTTTCTACAAAGTTATTTTAAAACATAAAAATAATTTTCAACAAATTTGACAATTTAAAGAATTTTTTTTATTCCGTCATTTAGAATTGGGTAAATTGAAGATTGGTGAAAAAAAAATGGAGAATAATTTGCCTCACCCCTCAAAAAAAAAGACCATTCTTTTTTCGCTCTGTATTTTTAATCTGCATTATTAATTAAGTTTATTTATTCGCGGAAACATAATTAAAACTAACAAGGACGAAAAAAGTTGATGGTAAATTGAAAAGAATCTCTCTTTATAAAAGTAATCTAGGATAACGAGTTCAAATAGTTATTTTTGTCCGCAAAAGGGCAATAATTACGAAACAACTAAATTGCAGTACAATTTGAAGAAAATTAATTTTCAACTTTCCAAGCAAAAAAAATCTAATCGTTTTCACTTCTTTAGTGCCGTTTTCTTTCAAGTAAAATAAAACTTTTATAATAACTTTTAACTCATTTTTTTAAAATTCCATTTAAATTCGATTTAAAAACTTTTTTTTCAAAATATTAAAAAAAATTGAATGATGAATTTAATTTTTACAAACAAAATATGTGGAATAAAAACAATTTTTCTTGAGTTTCTTCTCTCATCGATAACTTTGATATATATAAAGGCAATTTGTCTTCTTTTTCGATTAGAAAATCCTCTCAACTGCGGCTGTGAATCCCAAGAGCTTTGGGAATGGTTGCGCGATCATCAAAAAATGGTTGGAGGTGTGGGTCGCAGCCATAGTGGAAGAAATGGTGTGGGAGTGACTAATATGGAAGGAGGACATTTAAGATGCGAACAACCGCCGGAACTTCGTGGACTTGTGTTTCTTGACCTTGATCCAAATGCATTTTGCTCCTCGCCACTTGTTCTCAAACTTGCCATTCAAGATATTCAACCATTTTCAGTTCTTGTCTCTTGGCAAAGTCGAAATCATTCTGGACTTCATGGATATCAAGTAGCATATCATGCACTTGATAATGTTGACGAGGTAAATATATCTTTATATAATTTCTATTATTAATTTTTATTGAATTCTCTTATGGTCCATTTTTTGTTTTCTTGTCAAAACCAAATCCTTTTTTCAGTATAGTAATTCCTGTAATAGTATCTTAACAACATTAACTTTTCTTAGAGATTCCATTGAAGAATCTTGAATTTCAGTTTGAAATTGAGATAACCCCCAGGGGGGTTGCTAAAGTTTATCTCCCATAGAAATTTGTTGATAATCGCCATACATCAAACTGGAAATTCATCCGCATAAAACTTGGTTTGTTAAACTAATACGAGTTCTCTTCTATATGGTTAACAGGTGCGAGGGAAGTTACTGGACCCGAAGGCACGTTCAGTGAGGCTGACGAAGCTGGCTTCGGACACGCGTTATCTGATCTGTGTTCTCGGTCTTGGCAGTTGGGGAACACCAATCCCTGAGGACATTAATTCCTGGCAATGGAACGCCTCTCAAGACGACGTGATCGAGAGTCCAGCAATGCCAGTGATGGTCACCTCACCCATGAGTCGTTGTACCGAAGTAAGGACCCTTGAGTCTCCTAATTCAATAGTGGGTGAGGGCTCCCTCGGCGATAGGGGCGGTTTAGCAAACATCCTCACCCGAAGGCTGGGCTTAATTGTTGGAAGTTGTATGGGTTTTGTTGTCTTTGTATTGCTGATAACGATCCTTGGCTATTTGAAAATGAAAAAGCAACGAGCCACCGCAAAACGAGAACAGCCGATACAACAAAATCCACCCGAATACATGACCTATAGACATTTTTCATTACAAGGCGGTGATCGAGTTGACAATGCATGTCCGAGTTTTATCAGCAATATTGGCGCGACACCATTAAATTCGTAGCATAAGGCCCTCGAGACTTGTCCTCAATTAAAGGACGAGCAAATAATAGAAATGAAACACATTGGGATGTTCTCGTAATGTCTCTCGCAAAAAACAAAATATATAGTAGCAATAAACAAGACTGACACAAGGCCAAAAATCATTCAATGATTATGATTGGCTTTTGGCATCTTTCAATTAATCTGATTATATATATATAGCGCAATATATGCCTCACAGGACGAAATGAGGATATGGTCCAGTGCCAAGTGATAAGCTCCCTATATATATTACAAACTCAAAGTAGGCGTCTAGCTCAGAGGGATTGAAATATGATGTATATTGGAATTGACACTGTAAATTGTAAATTGGACAACATCAAAAGGTATAATATATATGTATAATTTTGAATATGAAAAGGTCATAATGTTGGAAAATCATAATGAACAAAAAAATTTATTAAATCAAACAACGATGAGATAATCTCTTGTTATCTCTCCGCAAAGACTGATTTTTTAACGACCTTTTTGAGTTTTATTTTTTTTTCTAATAATCAAAATCACTGGTGTAATTTTAGATCGTAATTGATGTGTTTATAATAATTATACCAGAAATTTTAACAAACAAAAGATCTTTCACATTGAATTTAAAATCAATAGTGATTATGACTTTTAGATATCGATAGCTTAGCGATCGGCATTATGGTTATTAAAAAAAAAAAAAAATTGTGCGTACGGAAAAAAATATGAAATGATAAAAATGGGCGTTTGTGATTCTTATATTGATATACAATGCAATTGTATAAGAAACACTTGCCCAAGAAAACTCGTTGACTCTGAAAAGTAATCGACTTGAGTATCAAAAGTTATGTGTGATTCCTGCCAAGATTTTAAAAAATATACTTTGAATTGCTGACTGTTATGATGTTAATTATGAAAGCAACAAGTATTGCAATTCAAAGGCACAAAAATTGTATATAGATAGATGAAATATATATACCTATAGCATTCTAGAATTCTCTTATTCATTTTTACTATAACATTTTTTTATATATTTATTTCATTCCTATTTTTCTTTTTCTCTCTATCTAGTTATAATTAATAATTATATTTTCTCATTGATAAAAATAAATACGTTGTTCTTGATTTATAAATTCTAAAATTGGCACCTTATTATTGAACTCTAAAACCACTTGATAAAGTATCGCGAGGACAAAAAATGTCTTATATTAATATTTTCCGCTGTTTTTTTATGATAACTAGACAAGCCATTCTTTGAGTTTTTCTTCTGAGCGTAAATCTTATTTAGCATCTTGATCCTATAAATCTAACTGGCAACTTTGCTTTTGTCGTGAAAGATGACTCTCACGCTCGATACACAAGGTAAGTGCAAAAAAATTTCTTCTCGTTATAGACCATTCTAACAAAAACGTTTTAAAAAATTGTTATAATACACTAATTCGTCACAATAAACAATAAAAAATTCTTAATTATTTTATCGAATTTTTTTTATCAATAATTCTAATAAATTATAAAAATTTTAACTTCTCAAATTGTAAAAATTTTAGACTAATATAATTTTTCCGATAATTTTTTTTCACAGTGAAAAATATTGCTATATCAGTTTTCAAGCGTGTCTTTTTTTTAATGTCCTAGGTGTGTATATGTATAGTGCGCAATATTGAAATAATTTTTCACACTCTGACAAAACAGACCAAGTACTCTGCAATTAAAAGCTGTAATTAATTCTGAGAGTTCCCCTCTAACTGCGAATACGACTTGCGTCGCGTGCCAGAGGCGTAACTCTCGCAAATGTCTAGACACGCGGCAAGCAGACTCTGTTTCTGCTATTTGGCAATTAAATACTCGACTTAATCGGGTGGAATTAGCTGTTATAGGAGGAATCTTCTGGTACCATAAAAAAGACCTTAAAAAAAATTTCTTCATTTTTTTTGGGGTGGTTTTTTAATATACCGCAAGTTTCTTTTCATTCTTTCATCTCATTAAAATCTGATATATTATAATTTTATATTTTTTAGTTTTAGTCCTTGGAAACTTGGTAGTAGGGGAATAGTGTCAGGGTTGGACACTTGGCTTTTTTTATATAAGAACACTAGCGCCACCTGTGTGCGTACGTGACGAATCTTCTAGTAGTGTAACCTAACTTTTTGTGGCATTACATTTTTGGAGAATCAAAAGTAGCGTCTCCTGTGACTTCGGTGCAATCGAAGAGACAAAAAAAGTTTTGTTTGACTTGTGAATAAACCTAAAAAATGTGTAAAAAAAGCAAGAATTCGGCAAGGTAAGCTTATTGAATGTATTGTGGGGTAGTACATAATTTAAGAAGAAAAAAAGTGAAAAATCGAATCGCGACACATGTCTGGTTATGGTTAGCACAATTCGAAAATGATGCTTCTAGTTAGGGTTGGACACTTTATACAGTTAGGGTTGGACAACCATATTAATTATGAATTTGACACAATTTATAAATAAATTTTATTGTATTGATATTTCAGTGCAAAATTGTGCCAAAGATATTAGAAAAATAATACTTAAATTGTATAAATTTTGTTCATCATTTCATTGAGTTATTTGGAACAATAAAGCGTTATTTTTTGTAATTTGAGTTCATTCCTTTTTTAAACCCATGAAGCTTTACAATTTGTAAACAATAAGTAAAGATAAACATGAAAAAATAAGAATAAAAAACATTACAAATGTTATTTTACGTTTTTACCAATAATGCGTTTCGATTTTCAAAAAGTGTCCAACCCTGACTGAAAAGTCCAACCCTGACTAGATTTTTTTTTTTAAATGTTTATAACTTTTTTAATTTTGGATCAATCAATTTACGGTCCACATCAAAAGTGTTCCTCTTTTGTAGATCTTTCCACCCATATACCACAATATTGACTGAATTTATCTAAACAAAAAACCAAAACTGTGTCCAACCCTGACACTATTCCCCTAACTATTAAAATTTAGCCAAAAATTTAATTACATGCGTAGTTTTCAAATATTCCCGCCTTATGCGTCTGCGCGTTAGATTAAACTTCAATTATTGGCTCATAGGTGGCTTTCTCACAAGCGATATACTTTTTCTTCTAAGGTACTTCTTTTTCGCCATCCAATTCTTTTGATAATTTTCTTCTTTAATTATAATTTTTTACTAATTACTATCACTAATAATAATAATAATATTTCTAAACTTAATATTATAAATGGACTCAGTTGTCGCGAGATTTTCACACAAATAAACAGTATACAACTTAATGAAGAGAGTGGGCGATTTATCAACGAAGATACTTAAACTAGATCTCGAGATCTTGCTCCAGGAGCGCCGCTTATAAATAACAGTTGTAGTTAGTATAGAACTTCCCCAGTTACCTTCTCTACCTACTTAATGTTTAACCCTTCCGCCGCTTCCTGCTTAACCGAGTTGCTTTAATAATTCTCGTTTCTGCTTAGCGCGAGGATAATAAAATCAGGTAAAAATTATTTCCCGCTCCTTCTTAAAAAAAAGTTTCAGAGAGTCGAGAAAATTACGCGAATAGAAAAAAAATAGAAAACGAGTTTTCATTTAATTAGAAAATAAAAATTATTTTATCGCCTTCTTGCGTTGGATATAAGAAAATTTATTTAACACATTTTGAGGGCATAACAATTTTTTTACAAAATTGTTTATAAATTTACGAGCCAAAAAAATAAACAATTTATGTGTAAATATTTGAGAAAGCTATTTTAATAAAAAAAGAAAATTCACGGAATTTATTATATCAGGAAATTGGAATACCATCCTCAAGCATCAAAATTGCAAATCACGTTAAACATAGTAAAGTCTATGCTGCAGAGCTGAAGTTATTGCTGAATTAATTAGAGAAAGTTTGATTGCAAAAAGCTTTACCAATTCCCTGCTTTTATAAAGTATAAGCAAAACTTGATCATGTCAAATAAACAGGCAGCCACATTCTTGAATATAGCCGGATTCGTTTTCCCGCATGAACATTTATTTAATAATAGAATATGAGAATTTCCTTTCAATGAGATAAAATCTCAAACGAGAATTTTTCATATTAACGAATTAGATTATTATTATTAGTATTAAATTATTATATAAATTATTAAAAATTATAAATAGAAATATATTTCATTTTCCTTTTGTTTTTCTTTTTTCTAAATTGGTAAAAAGAAATTGAAAATTTATACGAAAAAATTTCAAGTAAATCAAAATAAGTCAATTGATACGATGATATATTGTGGCATTTTATAGAAAATCAACTTCTGTCGAAGATAAGAAATTTTTTCAATTTAGAAAATCGAGAGATTTTAAAACTTTCTATCTATATATAGATATGAAAAGAAAGTGTGGATTGAAAATTGTGTACATTTTCTATAGAAAATAAAAGATAGATTTGTCGCTCTGCAATTGAATAAAAAGACGGATTTTCAATTTTGGAAACAAAATCCCTTTGAAAAAAAAAAAATTAATTCAATTTAGAGAAATTTTTTTTGTTACATTTACGAATAAAAAAATGTTCCACATAGGGAATTTAATTTTTTACATCGATAATTTTATTGGATCAGAATAAAAAAATCGTACAATAAACCAACAATAAATACAAATTTTTGTACAAGATTTTAAATTGAAAAAAAGAAGAGCACACACAGGCAAAGCATTCTGAAAAATTTTCAAGCAATACTCTCCTCGTTATTACATTTTCTATTTCGGTAAAGGTACTTTTATCGTTGCCTTGCGCGACACTCTTTAAGAAAAATCTTCGCGTGACAAAAGAAGACGAGATGATAGAAGTCGTTTTAAAAGCCGGGTGTCGTAATCTAGTTTCGAATGATTCCATTTTCTCGGCGCAATCCTCCAGGGACAAGTAAAGTGATTCGGAATCGAAAGCCACAAAGAAGGAGAGAGAGAGAGAGTTTTCCGCATGAAGAAATAAGGTCTTTCGACTGACGATATCTAACCGAAAAGCCTTGGGACATAACGGAAGCTTTTTCAACGTTCAAACTATAGAAATGGCAATTTTAAAATTATTTTAAATTGACCCTAAAGATCCGAAATCGTGGAAAATGAGCAGATTTTGCATTTTTCCGAAAAAAAATTCACAAAGGGGGAAAAAGTCATTATGGAAGGTAAATAGAAAAGTGGTAACAAAAAATTTATAATTTATCTAATTTTATTGTAAGAAAATTATTAATTTAATTCCCTAAGTTAATTAACGATTTTACACAATGCTATTGTGCAATAAATAATTTTTATGAAAGAGTTTAATTTCGAACGGAGATAGAACGTCAGCAGTATTATTTACAGCCATTTATTATTTATTTATCCGGCCACCAACTATATGGAAAAACAATCAAAAAGGAAATCTGCTCGGGACATTTGGGGAAAAAGGAGAAATTTTTCATTGTGAAATATTGTATGATTAATATACATATATATGGGGAACGAAATTTAGCGCGATGTACCTGATAACGTGGGGTAAAAAGGGGGAGGTGAGAGGAAAAGGGGTTGATATCGCAAGGACTAATAGTGTGGTTTAGAGACGCTTTTACAATAACTCCATTATTCGGTAGTATAATTAATCGGTACTCTAACCAACGCGCGCGTTGTACATTCTCCGAAATGTACATTTTACATGAATGGGGATATTCCAATCTAAAATGTGACGATAATTTTCGTTTGCAATACTCTAACTCCTAAAAGTAAACGACACAATTATT